AAGTAAGTAATACTGTTTCACTGTGTGATATATATCATATAAACAAAATGCGACTCGAGAAAATAGTTGTCGGTTTTCTTCAGTGTTTTTCCTGAATATATCTCTGATAACAACGTGTATGGGAAAAGATTGTAGTGATATTTAAAGCTAACGATTACCAGGATACGAAAGAAATTTAAAAAAGTGGTGGAAAATGAAATTTATAAATGAGCCTTCCCTACACAATAATTATATACATACATATATACGCATATAAGTTCCGACTATACAGCAATTGAGAATGAAATTGTCCGAAAAGCCAACTATTTGCTGAATTTCTTGTTTCCTCTTCTCCCACATTTCGATATTCAAAGAATTTTTACTAACTAATGCTATTTATCTTCGCACCTAGTCTAACCCTATTTAAGAAAATTGTAATAAGTAGATGGTAAAAAGTATATTTTATCCAAAAAGTAAGAAAATGCTTACTTTGATCATATAACTAATAATTATATTAACTCACAAAATAATGAACTTTTTTCACATACCTACTTCTTACAAATACGTAATGATAATAATTAAAATAAACGACTAAATTTTATGTAGGGAAAGATACCAGTTCACATGAAAATTTACTGTAGCAAACACTACAGAAAAGCGAAAATCAACGGCTCCTTTCTCTATGCTGATAAATATCAAAGCCAATTAGATTAAATATGTTACTAAAGCTGAAATAATCAACGGAATTCATTTCACAGTTCTTTGAAAGCAGAAGTGAAATGAAACTAAAAAGGATGAAGGCTAGGAGCTGCTGTTAGCAAACTTTCTCCATTGGAGTTAGGAAAAACGGTTGTACATTATATAGACGTGCTCATGAATAATTAAAAGCATGATTTTCCAAAGGAGAATGCAGAACATTCAAAAGGATGTTGGTTACATCTTCCACATATTGCCGAAGCTTTAGTAATCCATATAGAAAAACCTGAATACATTATGATATACGTTTTTCACTGAGTGACAATAACCTCAGACTTCTATTGTCAATTAACACTGTGTATGCAGTATTTCATCATGAGCTGACATCAATTAGAGAACTTTTGGGAAACCAACAAAGAGTACTGGACAGCACTCACTGAGGTTCGAACGAAACAGCTGTCCGGCACTCTCAGGCTTTCCAAAAGCTCTCTAACTGATGTCAGCTCAAATCCTGTATCAAATCAGTCAAACCCGCTACAAACCCATACTTGGGTAACACTGTGTATGTAAACTTTCTAAGTTTTTACAGACTTGAAGTGAAGTTAGGTAAAGAAATCTGTTCGTTGGCTCAGGAGTTCTTAATTACAGAATCTATTATACGTTGAGGAATCCTTTATCACATGTATTAATTCATTGATTTTATTTACTCAAATGTTGATGACAAATTTAAATAACGATATCTCACTATGAAATCAAATAAATAAGCTACCAAAAATCTCTGCTGAACCAGATTTGAGACTGTCACTGTTGAAAGTTATGGCATTTCCGGTTTCGAATAAGTTCAATGAATTTCATTCTTTTAGAGTGCAATTACATGAAAATATTTCTTATCTCTTTTTTTTAATTTCCTCTTCACTTTAATACATGTTTCTCAATTTTCAAGCTGATGCAGTCATTTATAAATCACTTTTTTCACGCTTCCCTTCAGGTTTAATCTATTTTTTATTGTGTAACCATTCTATGCAATGTCCAACTGCTAATTGATGAATTTTGTTTCATGTTTCAGCGCATGTAAAGAGGTTTTCTTAGCAAGTGAAAGCAAATGTTTACTGTTGTATATCTCAGGCAATTTCTGTTAGCTGTAGGGTGTCAATTCATACATGATGGTCATGATGGAGATAATTTTCACACGCATAGAACTAAACACATTAAAAATTATCCTACCTTTTTACCAATCAAGAAAGCTACGGAACATGGAATATAAGATGTCACCTGGCATTTTAATCAATCATTTATGTAAATCAATTGCTTCCTTGTTTCAAGATCAGAAAATGAAGTGTTGAAGTTTTATCACACTTTTCGACTAGTGTTGCATTTGATGCTTTTTGCAGATATCAAAATCTGTTTGTGTGGTATGACACCAGGAGTATAGAATATAGTTTCATCAAGACAAGAAATCTTTAATTAATGGTGAGTAGTTAGAAGCCACAGACATGTTGACTGGATTTCGTCCTTATCTGTAGTTTTAAGAATGCTATATTTGAAAGCTTGTTGCGAAACTTATATACTCTCATCGAAAAATGTTGCAACAATGAACAATAAGGTAGCTACTCTGATTGTAGCACTAGATGGTGGTTTGATTTCGAATCCCTAAGAAAAAACTGTTATTTGTGCATTTCATCTGAAATATTTACCTTTTCAATCTGAAGAAGTGTGTTCAAGTGCCTATTATTTTTTAGGCGTATATAGTCCACTACAAATGAAAATCTTTCAGTCATATACATATATGAATATCTGGTACCTGACAGCATATCTTTCAACTATTTTGAAGCACCTGGTCCGATCGCTTGCCACTCGCATTCGGCGAATAAGTAGCCCTGATACTGTGGAGGATGAGTTAATTCTTTTGAGGAAAATCCTAATAGAAAATGGATTTACACCGCGTTTTATAGACAAGAATATACATTCAAATGCTATAAAACGTGACTTATTACCCACATCCAAGCAAATAGTGCTTATGAGCTTGGAATTTAAAAGTGACTTAGCTTCCGATATCATGAAAAAAAGGATATCACAGTCCCTCAAAAGAACATTTCCTGCTGCATCTCTGAGACTAGCCTGTACTAGTCGACCATTACTGTTCAATAATCTGAAGGACAAGATCACGCTGTTGACCAACTCTGTATGTGTTTATCAATTCACCTGCTTGTGTGGAGCTAGGTATATCGTTCGTTCGACTCGAGCTTTTTCCAAAAGGGTTCAAGAACACTATCCTGCATGGTTACGAAGAGGTGGAAGTGGAGCAATAAGAAGCACGATCATTGAACATCTGGTCGATAATGATCACCCTATCTCTATAGCCTCCGCCTTCAAAGTCATCTACAAGGCAAAGAGTAATTTACCCAAATCCCTACATACCCGACTCATCAGTATTGCTGAAGCTTTGGCTATCGTAACAGAAAAGCCAGAGCTCTGTGTACAAAAATGTTCGTTCAACCCCTCCAACTTTCATAGTCTTAATCCCTCTTTGCTAAAGTATGGTAATCCCCAATCATATTCTGGCTCTACCAATTTTTCATTTTTTTTTCATTTTGTCTATTTAATTTGTATACTCTTCCTTTATTACGTCAATTATTACTATTACTGTTTTCACTTTAAACTGTCCTCGGTATTATTTCACTTGTTCCACTTGTCATTCTAAATCAATTCTATTTTACAACGTTAAATTCTATGCTATCAAATTTAACACAATATTACGTAACGCTTTTATTTTATTCAATTTCTCTGCTAATCCTATAATTGCATACCTTTTGCAAGTTCTATCCATCCTATGAATTATTCAATATATGCCATTAATTGTTTTGCCACTTGACATTTAACTATGATTATAATCACAAACATTTTAGTTTTAATTGCATTTCATACTACTATTATTATTAATTTATGCATTCACACCTATGATTCAATTCCCTCACTTGATATAACTTCTTAAAAAGCATATATATATGATTGTGCAACTTGAAGATAAATTCGTTGAAAAAAGACTCTTCACTAAATCACTTGTTTTGATTTTTTACAAATTCATATTTCATCTAACGTTTGAGATGTTGGTTACTTATCTCACTACTTTTATCGAAAAATAATTGTATTCATGGCATTCTCGAAGATAAAATGGATGTGAATGTGTTCTATCATTATTAAGTCAACTGGGATTATCATGAAAAATATCTATCAGGACATTGGAGGGAAAATAACAAGAAGCTGAGAGGAAATATCACTTCGGCAACTACATCACCAAACGCTTTACAATCGCGTTTTTATACATACTTTCACATGGTTACAAAGTGACTGATGGTCAATGAACAAGGGACTAATAACGTAAATCTGTACACTTTTTGACCTGTATACGATGAAAATGAAGTCATAGGCACTATTTAGGATTCCTAATAAGTCTGGGATTAAGGTGGCATTTAAATCAATCGACTCTCCCATTGGTTAACATTTTCAGCTTAAACTTCCAATAAATCCAATTTAGAAAAATAATATAACTTTTCAAATATCACTTAATCACTGTCAGATCATTAAAATATGTTGAACTAGTAGATCGGAACCAGTTAGAATGGTGGAATACAGGAGTTTAAGTAGAGTTGCTATGATTGATACCGCTAAATCAAATAATTTAGAAAAAAAACATTCGACCATTGCAATGCATTCATTTGAATGTAATCACATGGTAGGACGGGATAGAATAAATGTATTAATAAGTAATATAGTCAGTCGGGGAATCAGAATCACGCAACGCCTATGCCAAATATGTGAAAAATTGCAATAAAACGCTGAGGGGAGTGAAAGTATCTTAAGCAAGTTATCAGGAGGTGTTAGTACATTGGTATGAGTATAAGAAATAAGTTGTGCTCAAAACAACATTCAATTATGAATACTCTGTCACTGTATGCTTCATCAAATACAATTACTCTATTCTGAAATTAAATTCTACCACACTGCCCAAGTTCTACCTTAACATTGGAAATTCAAGAGGATTATCATAACAAAGGTGACAGGTAATTAACAGTAAAACCCTGAAGCTAGATTTTGTGCAAGATAAATACACACACAACTGTGTAGGAACTGAATATTGGTTTGGAAATTTGAACTACCGCTGAACTATTAGGTCGGCAAGGGATATCACATGGGAGTACGACAGATATGTATACTGATCACTTAGTCAGTGCTGCTGATTGAATTACGTAAGTCAGATTTTGCAAAGTGAAATACTGTCAAATGAGAGAATTTAACAAAAGAACTTCCATAGATTTTAAGCTTACCGAAATCGTAAAATTATTCCTGTAGCTACGAGTAGTAAAACCATGGATATTGCATAACCATAAAATACTGATGTTTGTATGATAGGTAAATGAATCTGCAAAAGATAAACAATATGAATTAACATAAACTAAAAATTACAGAGTAGATAAGGAGTTGAAATAAAGTGTATTTATACTGCTAAAACTGTGTTTCAATCTACACGTAATTTGAAATGTCTATTTACTTACTTTTTTCCAAGTGAAATAGATGCAATTGGCTGAAAACTAAAACTGAGACTCATCGAAGCTTTTGAAGTGAATACAGGAGAAGGACAGAGCTGTCCATATCATCACCAATGAAATTCCTAATTGTGGTGGACTGGATTGTGGGTGGCAAGAGAAGAGAAAACACTGAATAGACAAAACAACTCTATAATATCTCGATTTTGTGGATGATTTGAGTCTAATATCATAAAAACTGGAAGATCTATAGACAAAAATCAACAAACTGGCTGCAAAAGCAGAGAAAGCAAGATTTCAAGTCAGTAAATAGAAGACGGAGGTGATGGAAATAACCAATCACTGTCAATGGAATTATTCTGAAAACGGTCACTACCTTCCCTCGTTTAGACAGTATCTTTTCAACTACAGGCGAAAACACAGATGAGTATGTCAAAAGCAAGATGGGGAAGGCATAACAGACCTCCATCACTCTGAAATCAGTTTCGTAATCTCTCGCAAAGTACCCGGTATAAATAAAAAAGTCAGATTTTCAACATTACTATTCAGTCAGTTAGTTCTTCTATATGAGTCATAATTGTGACACCTGCTTCATAAAAAGCATTCGCAACAGTTTTCAGACTCTTAACAACAGCTATATTCGCTGGTTCGATTTCGATTATCAAATGACCGGAAAAAATTTGTCACAAGAAGTTCTGGAAACAAATAAATCAAGAATGAAATACCCTAGAAAATGGATATTAAAATAGAGATGAATTGGCCACACGCTGAGGAGACCCTTGAATGACATTGTGTTCCAGGCCTCCACTCTAATGGAGGCCGAGTGTAAAACAACGTGTTCAGCTTCACAGGGTGACATGGAGGAGATCAGAGAATATAAGCAATTGTAAAGCTGGCTAGAGAGTACCACAGAGAGTAGAACAAAGTTGAGGTGTGCTATTGAGACCCTATATTTCACTTAGAACCCAGGGAAACAATAATAATAACATAATTAAAATAACTGTAATGTCATTACCTTTTGCCTCAGCTAATGCGAAATCAACTAAAAGATTACTGGAATGCTTTTGTGAACATAGCTGTTGTAATGCAGTTTTTAGTGCTTATTGTTCTTGTCTATACTGACTTGAACGAGCCTCAATTCACGACACTGTAGCCAACTGATCACTAGATAATATTCACCCCCCCCCACTGACATGGACGCAGAAGTTTGGTGATTCCATATATAATTTCAAAATGAGTGTTACAATTGAGAAACTGTGAAGTGTCGCTCCAGAAAATATACAACTGAAACGCCTACTGCTTTTTTCGATAACATAGTCAAATAAGGATGGCGAGTAGACATTTAATGTTCATAACCCCCTCTCTCTTCATTTACAGAACAACAAATAAAAACAGAAAAACACGAATACTTACCGCTGCAATGTCTGTTTTATGTACACATTCACTGTAGTTAGGGCGACCGAATTCCCATATTATTTTATACTGCCCATCTGAATCTTCAGTTTTAACTGTTGTATTACACAAGCGATAGACAGTACCAGTAATCTTAGCACCTGGTACATGTGATGGGCAAGGAATTCTAGCAGTGGCTCTGCCTTTCGTTGTTGGCCAACATGAAACTGAGTCAAATTCTGTGAGACAGTATTCTGTTTGTGAATAGATTTGAGATTTCACTAAAATAAGTACAAACAAACAAATATGTGTGTGGTTTGAGGGAAGACAAAGAAAAGTTGTGAAATTTATTACAAATGTGATGGTTGAGTACATATTCAGTCTGCAGTTTAAATATCGAAGTATGTCGTGTAAAAAGACAGTTAAAGCGTTGCAATTAAATCATCCACCTCAGAGAATACAATCCTATCAAAGTCATTCAGCTCAGACAAAAATATTCTCTATTATTTCAATGATAATTTTTTTCTATTATTAAAAGGGAAACAGCTGACTAATTAACTCGGCTCGTAAACAAACAGAAAATTTCTATTACGCATGCGCATTCGGATATGATCTTCAAACAAAATAAGGAGAATTCTGTCTTGTTAGACAAATGCAACAAAAGCTCACAAGTGGCTCCGGAAATTCAGACTTCAATGGCAGAGTTGTATTTGTGAAGATACCACCTTCGTCTTGGACTATGTTAATTGCTACAAATTCTCTAAAATACAAACTGCCTTAATTTCAGCAGAATATGCATGTTACAAGCAACAAGAAACTCTGAGAACGAAGCAACCAAGAACCCATCGCTCAGTAAGATAGTGATGGATCGGACACGCGCTGAAGAGATCGTTGGGCAACATCTTGCACCTCAAGTGGAACCTGAATCGGAAGCGACAAGTTGGGTGTCTAAAGGTGACATGGAGGAGATCATACGAGGACTAGATGAGAGCCTACGGATGATCGTGAAGCCAGCCAAAGGCGACCTTAGCGAACAGAATAAAGTGGATATATGGTGCTGAAAGCCCTATGTTTGGCTAGGGACAGAAAAATATCAATAATAAGTGCTTTTTTCAAACTACATCTAAAAACTGCATGGGGATAAACAAAATAGATGGCAAAGAAAGCATATTTGTACAGTACTAAGGAGGTTAAGAAAAGGAAATTCACATTGTCAACACATTTTATGAATCTAAAGCCGACCTCATGATTTTGGAAATTAATGAAAGATGCTCCAATAAAAAACCAAGAAGATATTTTCGCAGGTGATATGAAGAGACAATAAAAGTTTTATACTGAGTTATTTCTATTACATATTCCTTATTTCTTTCAGTTATAAAAATACATTCTGAATATGTAAACACTTGTGATTAGGAGGAATGCAGTGCACGCATAAATGCATTACGTGAAAGGTAGGTACTTTATAAAACATAATAATGTACACAAAAAGCATTATTGTATAAAATGTGCAAAAATAGTTTTATCTGTTTGACTTCATTAGGTTATATTTTTTCACAAGATTACACGAACAGTATTAAGATAGCACTTGATAGTAGCAGCACTTGTGCTTGTGACAAGCTTTTAATGAAATACAAATTTCATTTTTTTAGAATATTTAAAATACAGAAACGTTAGTCATATTTTAATCTACACAATCAAAATATTGAATTTTGAAACAGTACATAAAGCTTTATTATATATAAATATAAATGTTGCATAAAAGAAATTTAACTTAACGTTGACCGTTTTTTGCGGATAAAAAACAATATCACATCAAGCTCAACACTGAAGGTGTTAATTACTAACGAATTCCTCTTTAAAGTATCAATTTGCCAGGATTTAATTAATTTCAAGTTTGATCAAGAACTACCCTCAGTTTGATAACCGTACCCATTACCTCTCCAATGATAGAACCGAGGATCTTCGCGTTATAACTGCAGATCGTCGACTGTTCAGCCAATTGGATGAATTTTAATGACCCATCAAGTCTAATTTCCATCGATTTATAATAAAAAGAGCGACCTATAGCCACCCAAGTTGATGGACCCTGTTTGTCAAGACCTCTTACTAGAACTTCAGGCAGACAACTTCACAAGTCAGATACTGGTGAATACTAGTGTGTAATGTTGAAGAGTCCTGAACAGGGACAAGACAGCTATCCAGTGCTCCGTGATTCTCAAAGGAGTTTCTCTAACTGAAGTCAATTTGTTATCAAACTCGAGTTTCTTTTTTTGAAACAGTGAATAAAAGTTTATCCGTTAGACTATCTATAAAAGCCTTAGATAAGTACGGTAATAAAATTTCAGTTGAATGTAAGTGCCTAGTAAACCGAAATTGCATGCAACTAAAGCAATATTATTGTAATGCATAAAGTTATTAAGATTTAGGTCTTCAATATATTTGTCTTAATCTTACAACAGATGTAGTTGTAGTTACTATTTATCTTTCACTAGCATACAAACTCTGGATAACATATTCGAAAAATGCCTTCAGATTAATCGCAGTTTTAATCTGAATTGATAAGTTAACTGGAAATTGGGATTATTGAAGTTATAGTGGTATGGAATATTGCAGTTTAATTAGTTGGATATATAATGTTTTACATTATAACGTAAAAATAAAATGATTCAATCCTTGCACTCTGAGTGGAATATAGGGCTTAGGCGACTAATCACCATTCCATTCAGGTTCTCTACATCACCATCAGCTGGAATCAGGACCGCCCGAAATGATTTCGTGTCCTGTGAGACAAAAAATCCTTATGAATAAAAAATATCTACGACGTTAATACTTCTTTGAATATTTCAACTCATTTTGTGATTATTACACTCTTACCATGATCTGTGTGTGTCGGTGGTATAGCGGTTAGGATGCTCGCCGACCATGCACATAGTCCGGGGTTCGGTCCCTGGCCGACGCACTCCTTTACCTCACTGAGCCAGAAATAATGCTGTTAAGGAGGAAAGGTTGGGCATGAGGCTATCAACTCCATCCTGTAAAATAAACACTGCGACAGAAACTTCAAGTCACTAGCTTGAAGCCCTATGTTCCACTGGGGAACGTGAAGGAAAAAAACCATGATCCGTGTACCATCATTCAAAAATTAGCATATCTTCTTTTGACCTCATCCCTTCAATGCATCCTCCTTTTTGGATGATTTCTCTTCTTAACACTTCACTTTACTATTGTGTTATGGTAAAATGTTGACCATAGTGTTTTATTCCACTATTGCAGTTTTGTTTGGATGAACCCAGGGCTCCCCAATGGAAAACCTGCTTGATGATGGACTGTCCTAGGGAAATTTGTTTTGTTCCTCTTTATTCATGTTGACAGAGTGTTGATCTTATTCTGTTTAGACCGCTCTTGTTCATTCACAGGTAGTTTACTTCTCCGCTTGGCTAATTAATTTTTCTTGTAAATGTTTGTATTTCATAACCCAGATACTTTCGAACTGTATAGCTGTTAGAGGGCATTTTTGAGGGAGTTCAGTATTTTTAATATAAGTCATCATTGCTGAATAGCATCACATTCTCCATCAAATCAAAGTGTTTTTCTGATATGATGGGATCTAATTTTGAACTGTACATCGACCTGGACAGTTTGGAAGGCTATACAATAAACGTGTGATTCAATTGCCCGCGCTCAGAACGAAATACCAAGCATTTGGTCGTTTCATCGTCTTCATACGTTATTGTCAGTGTCAACTTCGAACCCACCTCCAACCTATCGCTTTCCATTAGCTTTCGATTAGAGGGACTGATGTGCAATGTCACTCAACAGTCTCTTTATCATCAGTTCGATCCTTCTGCGCTTTCTTCCTTCCGTACAATTGTGTGATAGATGTTTCTCGGCGAATTCGCTGCTAGAGTTTTTCATCGCTATTGTTTTCTAGTCAGCTCACTAGTCTTCAGTATTGAGACAACAGAGACACGTAATGTTGAAACTCTTCACCTGGCTGCTGAAGATGCATTTGGTGCCGCTTACCAAGTTCCAAAGGCATACAGATCCAACCTTAGTGTCAAAATCTGTGTAACGACCAAAGCAGACCCGTTGCAGTGTGAACTCAGAAAAATGATCCTTACACCCCAATGTTTAGCTGATAATAACTTCCTTTACAGATGCAAAGTCACAAAACGCTCCACAGACGGCAAAAAGACGATTATTCCCGATAGACCTACATGATTATATTCAACAATTATGATGTGAAAAATTACCTCAGTGGTAGCGTTAAGCAGCTATACAGACAAGGCAAATTTTTGAGTACAAAACAAGTGCTGCAGAAAAAATTATTTAATCGATATTCAACTGTAAGAAGTTCCTTAGAATGAGGATCCGAATTCTGTCCAAAAGTACAATGCACCAAACATTTCCAACAAACAGTTAAAAGTCAGAATGACTTTGACTCACTTAAACATTCACACCGTAAAACAAAACATTATCAATAAGTCTCACAACCATGATGACATGCATTTAAATTACAGACAAAAACAAATAATAAGGATGACATCAGCATATAATAAACAAATGCCAGAACAATGATATACAGTCTAAGAGAAAAACAGATAAAAATTAAATAGTTGAAACATCCTGATAAGTGTAAATATCGTGACTTCATAGGTCAGAAGCGATTTTCCAAACAATTCTTCTGTCACAATTTAAATCTTGTGATAACTATGATAACTACTGCAGAAAGCCAAAGTTTGGTTGGTATTGAAGACAGCTTCTTACAAAACATTCTGAAACAATACCATCCATAGACACGCAAAGAAAATGTATTACAAATAAGTGAAAAGAAATTAGTCTTTTATTGTTTGAATTAATTTCATCATCTAAGGCTTTTTGACTAATAAAACACCCGAAGGTCAGTCGGAAACATTTGCAGGTTTACTGAAATTGGATTTTACTCTGAGATGAATATAGTTTTAGACGACGTATATATATAGCGGTTTGATCAATTGAAAATATGCCTTTGTTTCCGTATCTTGCCTTCTGCTGTCACATTTGTTGTCGCTGCCTGCCAACAAGTGGAAAGTCTACCTTTTGAAGATTTTGATCGGGACATGTGAATCTTCGGGCAGGACTTCGAGGCTGTTGCGCAGTTGAGTGGCATTCCAGATCCTTCAGCGATGAGGCTGTTGCTTAGAACGCTGCTAAGAGGTTGGACGAAGACAGCATATGGAAGTGTGAGGCGAAACACTGGCGAATGCTCGCCAGGGTCACGTTAACTCCTTCCGAATGGGGA